ACATGACGCAGCTCTACAGAGTGGCTGAAAAGACTGGGGTCCTGACGAAGGCACACAGGGCTGACAGTACCCGCGTTCACGGCTGAGGACTCGGAGGACCTCGGCAACTCGGGCGAGGTCGTACCTCAGACAGATTGAGGCCTGGAAGAGAATCCCCAAGTTTCCATCGAGCCAGCTTGGGCTAGTGCTATATCAGCACTTGTGTGGCAAAGCGTGGATTCGTCCCGAGGGTCTGAGCTACTCCACCTCGTGGGTGTCAGCGAGGTTCTTGGACTTGGAGGTGGCGAGGAGCGGCCGAGCGTTTTCGGGCTTCTTTCGAAAACTCCGTCGTCGTCCACGCCAAATGGTGAGGGAGTATAACACTGAGTACGACAGGCTTCATGGACGTCTCCGAGAAGTTGGCTGCTCGCTGCTCGCTTCCCGAAGAGTGTGTGGCATGGCTTTATCTGGATAGGTTGCAAGTGGAGGAATCGCAGGACCTGTTTTTTTTGGCGATGTGTGGGCAACCGCTACAGCCTGCGCTACTTGCAGCGTGCAGCATTACTCCACGACCGCGGCCAGAGGAAGCCATGGGCCATGGGAGGCCAACGGGACACGAGGCAAGTGGCAAACGAGGAGGAAGGGATCCGCGAGGAAGTGGCAGAGGCGTGCATGACTTATCAGTCGGCAAAGGAGCGTGACCGAGCGCAACAGCGCTCCCGAGGAACTGTTGAAGGCGACCGCGGAAGCAAAGGAGACGGCCGAGACGGCGACCAACGCGGCAGAGGAGCCAAGGTTTATGAACGCGAGGCCAAGTTGAAGGCGATGAAAGCTCGCAGCTTCTGCGGAGGATGCGGTCGCAGGGGCCACTGGCATTGCGCTGACGCCTGTCAACAAAGCCGCGGTGGCGAAGACCGAAGCGGTGTCCAAGGAGATGGCGATGACGACGGTGCTCCTGGCGGATGTGTTCGCGCTGAAGCATGTTGCCAGCAGCCTGCTGGGAGTGGCGGACGCGGCTTGCGCCCGGACGGTGGCCGGGTCCCAGTGGTTGCAGTCCTGCGCGAACCTGCTTGCGGAGATGGGCCACAAGCCGGTCATGCAGAAGGAGTGCGAGGGCTACAGGTTCGTGGCCAGCAAAGTCTACTACTCCTCCTTCTACGTGATCGTGAACTTCAAGCTCGGGGACTACAACATCCAGGTCAGGACCTCGGTGATCACCGGGGACATTCCCCTCTTGCTGAGCAACACAGTTCTTGGAAAGCTGGGGATGGTTTATGATGTTCAGCATGGCAAGGCCGACTTCAAGGCCATCCACTTCAAGGATTACGAGCTGACCACGACGCAGTCAGGCCATCCGGCTATCCCCGTCGTTCCCGTCTATACTTGACTCCTGGTGAAATGCCAGATCTACAGATCGAGGACTTGCGACTACAGCCCGCGAAGCAATACGTGTCCATGTTTGCCCCGAAGTACTCCGGAATCTTCTACGACAAGAAACTTGACCCGAGCGCCCCCGAGACATGTTGAGTCAGGATCGTTTGCAGCTTGCTGTGTTTGCAGCTTGGTGGGAGAAGTCAGTCTTGATCGTGATTTTGGGGCTGAGACAGCATCTACATGGGTGGGTGAGGGTGCATATGGTTCCGAGAAAGGCGATGTCCACAATGCAGAGGGAGATGCTGCTCAACACTATTGGAAAGACGCATGTTACCGAAGGGGTGTGCTGTCGGTCTGGGAGATGGGTAGAATCTACAGAAGATCAATGGGAGCCTTCTTGGACGGTGCCGGAGCTCAATGCGGTGCTCAGGGAGTGCTACGAGACCCACGAGGAGAGGGGCGTCGGCGACAAGATGAAGGGCTTGGGCTCCTTGAACCTCCCCGAGCTGATCGAGCCCGCGAAGGCCACGGGTGTGGAAGTACCACAATAGGTC